AAAAAAAAAAAGAAAGAAAAACTCAAACCTATTTTGTTTTTTAAAAAAAGATTACAGGACGGGTAATAATCTGCTTTTCCTTTTTCTTTGTTTCTTTTTTTCTGCCAAAGGAAAAACATCCTCAAGACGGCCAGACAGAGTTCTGCTTGGCTGGACAACTTAACGCTAAAACGAAACGTAATATTTAAATCAAAACATAAATCTAATATTTAAAACAAAACACGATATTTTAAAGAAAACATAATATTATAAAACACCATAAAACCCACCAAAATAATCAAAGCAGAATACAATAGTATATTAGACAAAACATAGGTTTCTTTTTTGATTTTTGGTAACTGTTTTACAGCGCTCGCAACTGCATAATGTCATATGAGCGCGCGGGACGCATTAAACATTTTCAGTTGGTAGGATTTTTAAAAAATATTTGCCCGAGTGGTGGCCAAAGCCTCCTCATATCGATTTTGGACCCCCAAGGGATCTTAAACGAGCGCAACTTTCACGGGACCTTCGAGATTTTTCGCCCTTATCCCAGAAGGCTATAAGCGTAGATCTTACCTACCATAATATCAGGGGTTTGGCGGAAAGACAGCAGTAAGAAGGAGCCAAGGAGTAGCAGTAGAAAGACAGCAGAAAGAGTCAGGAGCCCAGAGTGGGGGGGGGGGGGGGGGGGGGGGGGGGGGGGGGGGGGGAGATGTGTGGGGGTTGGGACAGAAAGTGGAGAAAAAAGCAGAAGACAGAACAAAATTGTAAGGGAGCAGATAAGATGTGAAAGGAGCAAATTTACTGCTGTCTTTCAGCCACATCCCTGATCTTCTTGTAAGAAAGATCTAATCCTAACCTTCTCGGACTGGTGTGAAAAATCTCGGAGGTCCCGTGAAAGTTGCGAACGTTAGAGATCCCTTGGATGTCCAAAATCGATGAGAGTAGGCTTCGGCGTCGTCCTGGCAAAATTCAAAATTTCCTGAAAATGGTTAGTGTGTCCCACTCGCTCATATAACCGTATGCCGTTGCGAGCGCCGTAAAACACTTACCCCCTCC